CAGTCCGCTGAAATGAGGCCTCTTTTCTGCAGAACACAGGTGGGTTGGTTTTCTACTTTTGCATCTGCCTGCCAACTGCTCAACAAAATCACAAGCAGTACTCCCCATTGCTGAGTGGCCTTTAATATTCAGATATTCAAATTCCTAACTCCAGGCTAGACTTGGCCTATGAAAAAACATATTAATATATAAAGTATATATATATGCATATATAAAACTGGGCATTAAACACTTCTACCTGGATGTTGACAGGCATTGCAGACTTCACCCCTACACACAGGGCTTCCAGTCCTGCTTGGCCCTCTGCACCCACAACTCTCCAGTCTCGACTGGCTCAGCTGATGGTAACGTGATGCTTCCATCATCTTTGGAGTTAACTGCTCCTCCTTTCCTTCTCTCTGCTCTTATACCCAGCTTGTAAGGAGACCCCCTAAGCTCTGTCGTCAGAACAGCCCCAGAATCTGGCACGAGCATCCCTCCCTGCCATTACTGGGGTCCTCACACTATGTCTTAGCTACGCCAGTGTCTACTTCTGCTCTGCTTCTCCCCTTGGCCTCTTTCGCTCTATGTCCGTGTACACAGTCATCAAAACAATCGCTTGTGAAACCCTTCAGTGGCTTTTCTGTTTATTCTGTGCAAAGGTCAAGTGTCTAGCGGGGTCAGCGTCTGGCCTCATCTCCTCTCTGACACAGAATGTGGCACCCTTCCTCATTCGGATACTGTGTCAGGCATCTGGGACGGCTTCAGTCGCTAGGCCTTTCCTTGTTACTCTTCTGCCTCACTAACTCACCTGCTCACTCTCCAGTTGTCAACATGGCCGACCCTTCATCTCCCACCTCTCTGTCCTCAGAAGCTACCATTGCAAACAAGCCTTCCATGACTTTATGTCTAAGACCTCAATACCTGTGACGTGACATCCCATAGCCCCCTCTTCTGTTTTGTTTTCCCCAAAGGCATCTAACAAAGTACAGTTGATATCTACCAATTTCCTTCCTTTTAGAATCTAAGTGAGGTTCACCCAGCACCCGGAACAGTCCTTCTGTGTGCACAGTAGGACTTGGACAGCTGTTTGTTTAATGAATGGATAAACATAAAAGGAAATGGTCCAAGGACGCTGATTGTTTGAGCCTTCACACAAGAGGGCACAGAGGTTCAGACAGTACTTCAGCCAATGGCTCCTCTGCCTGGAAAATTTGCCTTGATGGTTTTCCAGGCTGGAACTGGTGACTTGGGGAGGGGGAGGGGTTGGCTCTGTGCTCAGGATGGGTGTTCAATTTAGAGCCTGTCCTGAAGGGCTTTTAATCGCAGGCAATCGTGAGTCAGGGCGATGTAGGGCTGGACGGCAGCTGAAGAGAAGAGCTGAGCTGGGCCTCCTCTGAGAGAGGATGGGAGGGACAGGGTTGCAGTTTGCTTTGGGAACTTTCCTAGTTCAAAGAGGTGTGGCAAGTGTGAGCAAGAGTGAGGGCAGGATAGAAATTCAAATTTAATGATGGGACTATATGAAGTTTAAGATTTCTAGGGAGTGAATCTAACGCTTTTTCTTAGAAGACTCGAATACAGTTAATTCCTAGTGGTTACTCTTTAGTGTGGTGCTTACTTATTTGCCACTTCATTCGGATTCTGCGATGTCATCCACTGAGCTAAGTGTGAGCCTACAAGGAGTGTTCAGTGTGCACACAGCGAGCAGCAAGAAGCTGCGGTCTAGTGCATGGGGCCACGGACACATGTTCTGAATAGAGAGGAAAGGCTCTCCAAGGCAAGCTTTGGGACACGTGTGAATCTGCAAAGGAAAATGCCACTGGGGCTCGCTTATAGGTCCCACTATGTGGTAGTCTGAACGAGAAGGGTCTCCATAGGCTCATGTATATGAATGCTTAGTCACCAGGGAGAGGCATGATTTGAAAAGATTAGAAGGATTAGGGGGTGTGGCCTTGTTAGAAGTGTGTCACTGGGGTGGGCTTTGAGGTTTCAGAAACTCATGCCAGGCCCAGACTCTCTCTCTCTCTGCCTGTGGATCATGATACAGCTCTCCGCTACTGCTCCAGTGTTTGCCTGCATGCATGCCTGGGTGCTCCCTGCCAACACGGTAATGGACTAAACTTCAGAAACTTGAAGCAAGCCCCCATTTACATGGTTTCTTTCATTAAGAGCTGCCGTGGTCATGGTGCCTCTTCACAGCAATAGCACAATGATTAAGACACACTAGAGAGATACTGAAGAGCTGCGTTACTATTAATATAAACTCATATTAAGCAAGGGAAAATGCTTGTATCTACTTATAACTGAAGATTCCAGGAACACAAACAAGGAGAAGGTTTTAGTAGCTTAAGTCTGAGATGTCACCCAAGGAACAATTGAAGTTGTGGTTTTCAATGTTTGGAGGTAACTGGATCATGGAGGGATCACCACTGAATGAATCCATGATGAATGGATACTCATCTGAAGGACCACTGTGAGGGGTGGAAACTACAGAAGGCAGGACTGAGTGCGAGGAAAGATGTATATTGCTTGGTTCTTTATCTACTCTCTCTGACTCACGGCCATTATCAGGTGACCAACTCTGCTCTTCGGTACCCTTCTGCCATGGTGCTCTATGTCACCCCAGGCCTAGAAACTACAGAACTAGGTGATTATGGGCTGATACAGCGAACCAACAGAATTCTTCTGCCTTTAAGCTGCTCTTCTCAGGATTTTTTTTCCCAGTGACAGAAAGCTGAGAAACCCACAAATGTAGATGATACAGGGACTAGAGAAACAAAAGTCACTTTATGGGGGCCAGAAGCAATAAGACCAAAACACAGCCAAGACACTCTTTACTAACACAATCAAAAATGTCAAGTAGACTTTTATTGGATGTCCATGTGGCGGCAGTCAGCGTCCTCTTACTTTGAACAGATTGAGCAATGTCCTAGAAAGCAGCATTTGTATCAGGGGTTTGATTGGAGGAGAAACTTCTGGTTTTGGAACATTTATTTATAGCTTGATCTTCTTTACATTTTACTGGCTATGTATTATATTTTGATAAATAATTTAAGGGCTTCAGAGATTCTTAAAAGTAAGAACCTGGCTCAGAGAGGTTAAGCAGACCAGGGTTTAAGTTATGATTGGAAACAGGCTGGGGCTTAGGGTATTCTAGGAAGCATGAGATGGGGCTAACATATCATTGAGAAAAGACTCATGACATAAAGTAAGATTTTCATTTGTGTGTACATTTTAATACCTAATGTTTGGAAATGAGTAATGCACACACAAACTGTCTCTCAAACAGAAAACACTAATAAATACACACCGAGCACCACTTCCTGAGACTGCTCTGAATTACTGGAAGTTCTGTCAATAGTTCCAGAGAATTCTAGAGTTGGATCAAGGAGGGAAGGTGTTCTTACTCCCATATGGAGAAGAAAGAAAGACTTACATCTGATAAATGGCCTGTTACAGGATGGGCTGGATTGGAAGCTTTGACATTTATGATCTCGGCTAATCCTAGTGGTAACTCCCTGACTGCTACGTGTCCATTCAGCTCAGCCGGGAAAGGTCCACCCTGCTCAGGGACACTCCACAGCTGCCATTGCTCTGTCTTTTCTTGCTACCCGCTGCCTAACAGTTTGCTCCCTGACTTGACCCTAGTTACTCCATCTTTGAATGGTTTATTCTTGTGCAAGAAATGAGAATGGAGCAGCCTATGGTGACAATGAAAGGATGCCTATGTGAAGATATTTCAAACTTAGGGGGTTCACTGGCTGGCCATTCTGCTCTGTGCAGGCAGTCACAAACGCTGTCAGGCAAGGGACTGGACTCTTGGGTCTCTTCCATCCCACACGTTGTTTCTCCTGCTGTGGACTGAACGTGCTTGGCAAGTGCTCCAACACTGAGCTGCACCTCTACCCCTTTCTGCCTATTTCTTCCCTGTTAGACTCGGAGGAGGTGCTCACTCCACCACTCCCTACTGTTTAACATACAACCATCGACCCATTAACATCGTCCTGTGTTTCTGAAGGCATCTAGGCTTGGGATCCTGGAACTGAGTGGCAGTTCTCATCTTTAACTCCTGATTTAGGTCTTGGACGTCTCGTGAGACTGCTGGGAAGCGGAGGAGGTGACCCTGGACCTCGTTCATGAGGGCGAGGACGTGACCTGTGTCTCTGTGGGCCGCGCAGTACCCAGCTTACAAACAGCTGCTCATGACTCTGAGTTGTACACCGTGCTGGTGGTACACAGAGAATACTCCATCCCACACACAAAGTTCAAGGGTGCATAGCACTCTCCCCCGTCTTCCGAAAATACGGGGACTCAGAACGATTGAGGAATCATAAACAATTTGAAGAGTGATCAATTTAACGGTTTACCATTGTGAAGAGCCCATCTTCTGGGTCCCCTGCCTCTCAACCACTGTCATCTCTACACACAAGTAAGCCAGGACATTCATGTCCCCAAAGTACCAAAATGACTGTCTTTACCAAAGCAGTTAAGAAACCTGAGTAGGGGATATTTTCAATACTGATGAGAAAAACAAATTGACACTTCTTAGAATCTCACTGCGTTAGTGGTGAGACATATGCTGGTGGCTTTGTTTTTTAAAAATTCCTAAGCAAGGAAGGTCCTGTGAATTCTTTCGCTGTTTTATTCTCAGGGGAAATCTAATGATCCATTTGAAAGACAGAAGACATAGCCGTGATTCAAATCCTACACAGAGGATTGCATCAGACTGAGGCTCAACCGTTGAAACCCCAAAGTTTAAGTGAAGTAGCAACTGTGACGGTCTGGGCCCCAGGTGAGGCTCTTTTCCCTTAAAGAAGCACGCTCACTTTGCATTCATGCCGCCGAGGCTACAAGTGCATCAAACAGAAGCTGACTATCCTACAAGACAACATGGGGGTGACGTGAACACCAACGCAAGCATCGTACGCATGTAATTTCTACCACCTCCTTTGCCAGTTTTTTAAAAAACAAGTCAACAAACCTCCTGTAACAACCACACAAAACACACCAAGTAACCGTACCTCTTCAGGCAAGCTGACCACGAGGTCATCTTTTGTCTGTCCAACCAGGGCTTGCCAGAAGTATTCACTGCATGCGGCCAGCACGGCCCGGTGGGCTCGGAACTCCTTCCTCTCCACGATCAGAGTCACGTCACAGAGGATGTCCTTTTTCCGTTGGTCATTGAGGCCGAGGAGGATGTTGGCACAGTGGACTGTGGACTCATACACATACATGGGGGAGTCAGGCTTCTCATCCACAGACATGCCGTTCAAACCCTGGAAGAGAGAAAGGCTGGGTCAGTGGCCAGTAAGTGACAGAGAAGGTAAGGAGGACCGTCATGGCTCCTAGGTCCCCCAGTCAGGAGCCTGGCAGAGGGGAGAGGGCTGCTAAGCAGCACAGCCATTCTGGGTTGGCGTGACCAAGTCAGAAATGTCTGAAGGCTGCAACCTATTGCTTCCCTTCCATTCAACTACATTTCTTTACCCTGCATCTTTTAATGGGACACCGTAACACTGGGTAGTTTCGATTTCATTAGGAGGCTAAAATGGGATTTGCGTGTAAAGTCTAATTACTAACTGAGATTTGTGTTAAGAGGGAACACATCATTTTGAAGTCTTTGAGACGCAGTTTTGGTGAGATACATGCAAGTTCCTAAGTCGAAATTTGGCAAAGATGCTAAGTAGACTACATATTACATCATGAGCTATGATTCAATGGATCAATAGCGTGTAGATGTAGGTCTGCTATTTCATCCACCCTTTACCCTTCACACTATGGCGGTCATTCCTGTCTCAGATATGGAACAATGCTTTCATTGTCTCAGAGGGCCCAATGAACATCTTTAAGGAAACAACATTGCAATAGGAACCATGAGAAAAGATACATTCAGAATAAGATTTACAAGACTCCTTTGCTTTCAATAGTAGTCTGGGAGTAATTTTAAAATACACTGTCCACAGCTCAATCAAAGGCTGGGTTTTCAGGAAGGCCTACTACCAGCATAAACCCCAGTAGCAAGTCCTTCTTTCCCCTGTCTTTATTTTTGCTTTTGAAAACAGCTTTAGTATATGATGCTTAAATATTTGGAGTGTGCAATTGCCATCTAACATGCATATGCAACTGGAAAGCCGTCAACGCGATCAAGCCCCATCAGCACCCAAAGCCCGCTGCAGCCCTTACACCCGTCAGTAGCCCTGCACCCACTGCTCAGCTTTCTGACGTTTGTTGGCCTCTTCTAGAGTTTTATTTAATTGGAACAATGTGCTACCCTGTCTGAATTATCTTACTCAGAACAATTATTTTGTCATCTACTCATGCTGCTGGATAGAGCCAAGGTTTGTTCTTCCTTCCACTCTGTTGCTGAGAACATAAACTAGTGCAGTCGCTATGGAAACCAGCAGGTGTGTCAGAAGCTGAAAGTAGGCTACTCATATGATACAGGCGAGCAACTCTAAGGCATACACCTACGTGAGTTTAAGCTGACCACAGAGATACCTGCACATCTGTATTTATTGTAGCGCAGTCAAAATAGCCGGGAAATGGAAAGAAACACCCTAGATGCCAATATTCAGACTAATGAATACAGAAAATGCTGTGCACATACGCAACAGAGTTTTATTCAGTCTTAAAGAAGACCTGAGTCATTATTAGCAGAAAAATGTGTGGAACTGGAAAGACAAATGTTGCGTGTTTTCTCTTACGTGCAAAATCTCGATCTAAACATGAAATTAGAAGGAGTCTATATTAAAAGAGAACAAAAGAAAATAATAGCGGAAGATTAAAATAACTCATTTTCTTTCGTATGCAGAATCTAGAATTAAATACACACACACACACACACACACACACACACCAGCAAGCGGTGATGGAGGACAGAGGAACAGGTGAAGGTAGTGGGATGATAAATTAGCAAAGTATATGATATATTCTATGAAAATATCATGTTAGTGAAGAGAGAGATGGGAGGGTAGGGCAGAGGAGGCAGGGATAACTAACACTAAAGATTTTAGAAAAGGCCATATAGAAATCTGCCATTTTATAGGCTTCCTAAACATATAAACATGTTTAACTGGAGGTATCCCACACAGGAGACAATACTCCTCCCAGAAGCCATAAGATGCCAAATAACCCCATTACCAGGTGTGGGATACCTCCCCTCACAATGCTGACTAGAGGTGCTGGATACCCCTAAAACAATATAGGATTTTGCTATTGGTCTTCTCTGTTCACCAGAACTTATTGTTCAACTTGCCTATTCACCAAAACCTTACTGTTGAAGATACGATACACCTTTGTCACAGGACATGACAAAATCACGTTAGCACTGACCAGGAAGTTTTCTCCCAGCTGGTTAGCGCTCATAGTCCTGGAGGTGCTATGTAGGCTGCTGGGAGAAAGTGTCATCAACAGTCTGTGAACCCTGCGAATTACAATAATAACTGGCATGGCAAGGTACTCCCATGGGTGCAATAGGGGCACAAATATTATGGGGGTAACCAATCACTTTGTGATGGAATTTAAGGCTTTTCATTCAGGAGGAAACAAATGCCTGGTACTATAAATCTGGCCAAGAACCTATGGTTAGGGAACTCCTAGGCCCCAGAGGGGCATCTGCTACTATCACCCTGCAAAATGGACTGCCTTCTGGATTCTTATCTCTACACATAGATTAGTGCAGCTTCCAAACCTCAGCAGAGAAGTTTCTCTGTGCAGTGAATGGTGGCTAAATGCAGAAACTTACAGCTGGTCAAAGTATAGAGAATAAAAGTCATGGAATGCTCAGAACAAAGGAGACCACTATGTTAAACCCCTCTGAAAGGTTTAGGGATGATGGTGGAAGAGAGACAGAAAGATTCTAAGAGACAGAAGTTGGGGAGAATCAGAGCAAAACAATGTTGGATGTTTAGTGTGTTAGTTACAAGTTGTTATGGATAATGGTAAGGGAAAAAAACTAAACAAAGGAGATTAGATTCAGGGTCTAGTTTTGAAAAGAAAAAAGGGGAAATGCTCTGGGATAATGTTCTTGTACACTCTAACGATTCGTCATGCAGTTTAATAAGATGCTGACTGGCTAGTAGCCAGGCAGTAAGTATAGGCAGGGAAACCAGACTAGGAGAATTCTGGGAAGAGGAAAGGCAGAGATGCGGTCGCCACCCAGAAGCAGAGCAAGCAAGATGAGAATGCCTTACTGAGAAAGATACCAAGCCACATGGCTAAACATAGATAAGAATTATGGGTTAATTTAAATTGTAACAGGTAGTTAGTAATAAGTCCTAACAATAGGCCAAACAGTTTATAATTAATATGAGCCTCTGTGTGTTTATTTGGGACTGAATGGTTGTGGGACCAGGTGGGACAGAAACTTCTGTCTACAAGTGTTCTGGCAGGGCTTGGCAGGACTGATACACTCATGGACTGACAGCGGCAGGGGCTGTACAAGATCTGTACAAGATCAAGCAAAGCAACATTCTAGCACAAGATCAAGTGAATCAACATTCTAGCACAAGAGAGGAAGAAAGGGTTCATGAGCCTCCGCCCATAAATGAGTAGCTATGGGCAGTTGATCACTCCTTGGGTAGGGAAAACCAGTTTTCTTTAAGGGTGTGGTTTCTGGTAAGTCCATGGAAGTTTCAGTAGATGGTCACACAGCACAAGTACATGAGTGAGTGGCTAGCACAAATTGAACTTGATGGGAGGGAGGGAAGGAGGGACGGGGGGGGCATGATTTGGGAGGTAGGGAGGTAGAAATGGATCTGGGAGGAGTTAGGGGAAAGAGTGGGAACGAGTATGATAAAAATACACTGTATGAAATGATCAAATAATAAAAATATTAGAAAGTAAATACCACAGGCAAAATCCATTATTTTGTATGCCAACTAAAACTTAGTAAAATAGAGTTTGTTATGTTATTGCTGAATTGTATTTGCTGCATTTACAAGTTTTAAGCCATCCATTGCTACTGATGGATAACTGGACTGTTTCCAGTTTGGGACTACTATAACTAAAGCTGTTGGGAACATCAGTGCTTAAGACTTCCTATGGACAGGTACCTGAGTCTCTTCCAGGGCACATACAAGTTTAAGGTTTAGGAAACAAATGACATTGTTTTCTCACACAGCGGTATCATCTTACGTTTCCCTAGGAGCATATGAGCACTGGCTCTTGACATCCCTGCCAACACTGGGCATCTTTGTAGCTGCACCCTGATACCTCCCTGGAACTCACTCTGTAGACCAGGCTGGCTTCAACCTCAGAGATCTGCCTGCCTCTGCCTCCTGAGGGCTGGGATTAAAGGTGTACACCACCACGTTAAATTTAATTCTTGAAGCTGGGTCTTGCTTTATAGCCCAGGCTAGTTTTCAACACTAGATCCTTCTACCTCTGCCTTATGAGTGTTGGGAATGTATGTGACAGACATGAGACACTTTCCATTTCAAATCAGGTTATCTGTTTCTTGCTGTGGACTCTTGAGAGTTCTGACTGCTCTCAACAGTATTTTATGTGACACGTCAATATTCCCCTCCAGTCAGCCATTGCCTGTCTTCTTCTCTTAATATTTATTCTTAAAGTTTTCACTTGATAAAACCCAATTATGTAACTTTTAAGAAATATATTGTACTTCTCTGGTATCAAATCTAAAATAAAGTTTTAGTGCTCTATGAATATTAATATATTTTCAAATTTATACCTAAGCATCCAAATATTATTTTAAAGTGTCAATTTGATTTTTCATTGTTAATATATAAATAATTTTATATTTGATGATGAAGATCAAACTCAGAGCCTCTTGCTAGAATTCTAGGCAAATATTCCAATACTTAGCTACACTGCAAATTATACAAGAAACAATTTTGTGTAAAGATTTTGTATCCTGAAACCTTGCCTAATATTAGTTCTCATGGCCTTTCCTAAAGCTTCTATAACATTTATGCAGCGAAGATAACACTGTCTATAAATAAAACAGCAACTCCTTTTTATGGATGCTTTGTGCATTTTTGTGACTGACCATGCTGCCAGTGGCTCTGCTGTAACACTGAACAGATGAGAAGAAAAACCCTTGCCTTGCCAAGGTTGGGGTAAACAGCATTTCACCAGGATGCCAGATGTTAGCAACAGGTGCTTTACAGAGGCTCTTGCTGTGAGATGAGGTCTCCACCCATTCCACATCCTTTCACTCACATTGCTTCAACTAAGAACCTGACCTCAGAATCCCAGCCCTGGGGAGGCTGAGGCAACACCACAAATTTGAGGCTAGCCTCCGTCACACAGCAAGAAC